TCTCGCCGTCTCTTCCTTCACTTTCACTTTCCACCTCCACTTCACCCCCTCAAATTCCCTGGCCATGGTCGGCATTCTCAAGCCGAGACGATCTCTTAGGCTCAAAGATGTGAAGAAAGGTATGGATCCTCGTCGTTATCGTTGACCGATTTGCCCTGACTGTGGCCCGGCCACAGTTCATTACGACGAGTCCAGTGACGCCGGCTCTGTGCCCGATCTAGAGCTCAAGCCTAAGCATGTCAAACGGAAAATAAAATCATCAGACGACGAAGACGGCTATGAGCCGGACCGTGAGGCCACGCCGGTGGATGGGAGTACCCCAAATCGGAGAGTGAAACGCAAGGTCTGCATGTCGGACGACGCACGACAGCGAGCTGTCGACAAGTCTCCGAACAAAGGCGCCTGCATTCTATCGAGGCTCAATGACAGGACAGTCCAATTTTGCCACGTACTTCCACGAGCCACAGACTCGTCAGTGGTAAGTTGAAGTGGCTCCTGTGCGAATGCAGTGTCTCTGACGGTGTACATACACACACACACACATAGCTCGCGTCTCTGGAGTGGTGGTGGGGTCTGACAAAAACAGTAAACGTGGACTCCCATCATAATGTGGCTTTCCGTGCGTCTCCCTTCCCTGAGGCATCCAGATACGCATGGGCTTACTTGCATACAGTCCGTGGAGATCTGCACGTACTGTGGGATCGTGGAGACCTATTGATCGCTCCGATGCCTGATGTGGTCATGAGGCTGCTGGATAAGTTCACGGTTAGCGGCAGATACAACATTTGGGAGGTGAGTCGTTGCAGCCCGATAGTTTATGGCTGATGCGAATGGTCGCCACAATGCGTTTAGGTCCTCGAAGAAGAGAAGTTTTATAGCTACTCTGCGCTCCCTCACCCAGCCCTTGCAAATAGTCAAACCCGAGAAGGGTTCGCCTGTAAATTCGATCTAATCGAATGTGTCCAGTCGCAGGCAAAGCCACACTTCATGATATTGAATGCTGTCATGAAGATCAAGGAGAACAAGAAGCTGTGGATAAAAGTTCTAGAGGCGTTCTACAAGAGGATCAATCTCAAGGCCGATGCATCCCGTGTTGTGGAGGGTATGGTGACATTGGCTGACTTGTGGACTGCACCACCACCCTGGGATGCACAGTTGGTAAGGAACGAGGATGAGCCGCAGGAGCTAGAGGACGAGCCGCAGGAGGTAGAGGGTGAGCAACAGGAGGCGGAGGACGAGCCCAGGTTAGTGAACATATTTGGTTCCTGTCAACTCAATCACCGATCTCGCTTGTAGCCTTCCCATAATTATTCCGACAGGTATACCAAGGACGCCTGAACGGCCGAAAGGTACGTCGTTATGCTTCGCCTTGCCATATGATACGGACTTACCAAAACATCTTCATGTCGTACAATAGCTGTCATTGGTCCAGGAGGCCTTGTCCAGGAAATAGGCCGCGAATCGAAGACCCCCGAGCCCGAGGACGAACCGTGCTATAGCAACCTGAAGTCGTGCGCTGCCCAATTGGCGCCCACTGGTTCACGGTGCCTGCTCAGTCTGCAAGATGACAAGTCCGTTCAGTGCTGCCACGTCGTCGCGCGAAGCACTACACACAAAACGGTAAGCCACAATTGTCCTTAATGGTGTTCACGTCAACCTGACTCAAATGCTCTCGCGCCCGTAGCGCCAAAACCTTGCAGCATGGTGGGGGCTTGTTGATTTCGACATCAACACGCCTTTCAACATCTTCCTATGTGAGTGCGTGCACCCCGGTTGGTCGGCGTAGCCCTGATGCATACCTCACATAGTGAGAGCCGATGTTCACTCCATGTGGGATCAAGGCGATCTGCTGTTCATGCCTGAACCTGAGGTCATCAAGAAGTTTTTCGCACAATCTATTGTCCCCATAGATGTAGGCGTGGTGAGTACAGAGACAGAGGCTAGACATGATATCTTGCTCACGGTGTTAT